TATATATGCCTGAAAGACTAACGGGATTGGTCCCAAGGGTTCTATTTGCCCAGTGGAGAAACGTCTGTGATTCGTCCTGCTGTTGCCTCTGTCACATCTGTCTGCCACGTTTTTATCCTGCTGCTCTTCTGAGGAGCTCAGGGCAGCATGCACGCGTCTTCTCTCTCCATTCTATCTTCACCGACAACCCTGTGAGGTATGAAACACAGAGAGAGAGCGAGAGAGCAGCTAGCTCAAAGTTATCCAAGTGAGCTTCAGTGCCTGAGGGTCTGTCTACATGTTACAAAGTCCTCGGCATATCCAGGTTGGTACAGGGATTTTTAAATGAGATGCAAGTTGCAAGTCCTTGCTGGGAACTCTGTCCCCAGGTGTGTGGTGTCCAGATTTCAGATCAGGACCACAGAACAGAGGAAGAGGGTGCTTAAGCCTTCCCTCTGGGTCATTTCCCAACCTGAAACACAAAACTCCCCATTGGGGGCTCCCATTGGAAACTGATGGGGAAGAAATATCTGCACGCACCGTGAGAAGCTGTGGCTTCACCAACTTTCACTTTACTTGCTTTAAAAGGACACCTGAGAAGGACAAACATTTAAGACAAACAACAAATGCCCTTGAGCTATTATCTGCATCCTCTGTTATTTATTTAACTAATTAATTAATTAATTTTTATCCCGCCCTCCCGCCGAAGCGGCTCAGGGCGGCGTACAACAATAAAACAGTAAAACAATCTGTACAACATTAAAATCACAATTTACATTCAGTAAAACCTACTCAGGATGGCGACTATAAAGTGCTACATACTCAATCCAAGTTGTCGAATGCTTGGCGGAATAACTGTTAAAGAAGAAGAAGAGAAGAGATTGGATTCAGACAAACAACAAATGCCCTTGTGCTATTATCTGCATCCTCTGTTGAAGAAGAAGAAGAGAAGAGATTGGATTTATTCCCTGCCCTTCACTACCCAAAGGAGTCTCAGAGCGGCTTACAAACTCCTTTCCCTTCCCCTCCCCTCCCCACAACAGACACCCTGTGAGGTAGGTGGGGCTGAGAGAGCTCTGACAGAAACTGCTCTTTTTCAAGAACAGCTCTTATCAGAACTACGGCTTGCCCAAGGTCATCCAGCCAGGGGCAAGTGGAGGAGTGGGGAATCAAACCCGGTTCTCCCAGATTAGAGTCTGCGCACTTAACCACTACACCAAACTGGCTCTGAAAGGGCATTTGCCCCACCCTGCCCCAGCCTTGTGTTCCAGCATAGTTAACCAGATGGCCAGAATGACAAAATCAGAGAAGAAACCAAGCTGGACAGAAAAGGGTGAGTTACAGAGTACCATTAATCCCAGGACGCTCATGACTAGGACCCGCCACCACTGCCACACCATGACTAGGACCCGCCACCACTGCCACACCATGCACTGCCACACCATGCTTTGGCCACCCAGTGAAAACTGATCTGGGTCTCAACTTAAACCTGATGCTTTGGGGGGGTATCTTTGTTTTCCCCCTGCTTCAGGTTGTCGAGATTGCCAGCTTGACCGAGCACTTGCTGACAGAATGTGACAAGAAGGATCACTTTGGCAAGTGTTCCCGTTGCTGCGAAGCCCTACCCAAGGAAGAGCTTCCCAGACACGTCAAGGGGAAAGCATGCAACCGTAAGTGACCCTGCCTTGGACGCATTGAGAGAGCAGCACAGTCTGACCCCCAGAGTTCTGGGCCTGGGGGAGTTGTAACCTCACTGATGAGCTGGGCAACTCATCACCGTGACACTGTTGCTCACTCCAGGCCGTGCAGTCAAATCACTTCGGGCGCACATGCGTGAAGGGCAGGCAGACTGCAGAATAATGTGCAGGGTTTCACTCAGCTGGGGGCTCTTGTGATCTTTAAAGAATCCAAACCTGCCAAAAAACGATCCCTGTAAGAACAGAAGGCGGCTGTGTGTACATTGCTATTCTTGAGAAGCCTAAGAGCCAGTATTTTTCAAAGCAAATGTAGTGGAGTTATTGACTGTATTACTTCAGACTGAAGGAGGAGGACCGTATTTTGTAATGCTTCTCCGTGTAATTAAAAAGAACCTGTTGACAAGAGCCTTTGTGCTGATCTGCTAAGCTTACTACAAGGAGTTTTAATAGGAATCCGGTGTCATATTTGGAAGTTGGGTCTGTAACATAAGTATTAACCAAGACTTTTGTGGGGTTAGGTGAGCTTTTTTCTTACCACTCAAATGACCCAGCCAGCCTCTGGGCATATTGAACTTCAATCATGTTTTCCTTTTCTAAATTAAGCACAGAGGGATTCCTACAAAGAGTACAGCCCACAAAAGCACTCTGTCCAAATGCGTCCACTTAAAAAGGGCTGGGAAATGACCTTTCTGCTGGAGAAAACCTCCTTGCTTCTGGTGGGCTGTCTGGAGACATCCACAGACATCCCACTCTGCAGACAGATACAAAAAAAGGAGGTGTTATGTGGGTGGTTCTATTTTTTTCCCTATTTGAGGGGGGTCACAGCAGGAGTGGTGGTCTGTGCTTTAAAAAAATACTTTAGATCTAAGTGCATATCAGTAGGTGCCGATAGGCTTTCTACGTCTCTCTGATTTCTCTCCCTTCTCTTTCCAGCTGCCAAACCCGAGAAAGTGGCCAATCACTGTCCATTGTGCCATGAAAATTTTGCGCCAGGGGAGGAGGTGAGAACAAATTCATGCGTGGGCTTGGTGGGAACTTTGCTTCTCTTACGATAATCCTTCACTGCAACACCTAACAATGATTCCTGGGCTTGCGAGGCTGGTCCCAGCTCCATCATTGCCTGATAAGAGAAGCAGAACACTGGCCAAAGTATTGACAAGAGCCCTTTGGCCCCGCAGGCAGCATCCTCCTCCTAACCCCAAGTGGTCAGGTAAAGGCTGGTGGCCTGCCTCTCAGAGTTGTTGTGAGGGCAAACACAGCAAACACTGGAAGCGTTTTGCAAGTTCCTAACGCTCTGTAAGCAGTTGATAATCTCAACAGAAAATGTCTCAAACCTCTCAGATGTAAGCCTGTTCAAAGCAAACACCCCACTGCTCCCTTCCTCCAGCAGCTGGACTGAGTTCACCACCCAAGTACACACACATGCTCTGCTTAAGAAGCAAATAGGGACGTACCACCTGACAGATAAGGAAGAGGGGGGTGCAGAATCCTAGGCAACTTCTTCCTTTGGCAGATGGTTGTCCCCTTGGGAAACGAGAGTCGCATGTTCCAGAACGAAGATGCGCACAGTTCTCTCCCATCTTGCATTTTAGCTGGGACTCACCACCTCAGTCCTTTGCATTTGCTCCAGACGCAGCCGGGTCAAGCCCTGAGCCTAGCTTCCTGTCACATAAACTCACCCTTGTATTGGTGGGCTCTCTCGTGATCCGGTCTGATTCCATTTCCCCTTTCACCCCCAGGCCTGGAAGGTGCATCTGATGGGCAAAGACGGCTGCTGCATGAACCCGAGGCGGGTGTCCTCCTTGAATAAGAGCTTGCCATCACAATCGACTGCTGGTATGGCATCCCTCAAGGGTCATTTGCTCACTGGGTCACTGAAAACATTTAGATCTCTGCCAGTGGCACCACTAGATGTTGAGGCTGCGAGCCTACATCTTAGCAGATGGATCACGCCAAATCACCATGAAGCAGGGAGGGTGGGGGCAGTCTGAGGCAAAGAAGCAGCCCCCACCGGCAACCTTGCTGAAGCTAAGCAGGCCCGGGTGTCTGGGCAGTGGAGGGACATAGACCACCCCCCACAAGAATATTATCAACAGCCGCCTTGGGTTCCCTGGCGGAAGAAGGTTAGGAAATAGAGTACATAAGAAATCCTTCCTCCAAAGGTGACATTTCAGTCCTTTAAGGATGGCAAAGATCTGTAAGTTTAAGTACTAATAGTCCAAACCAGGGGTCGGTTCGTAGAAAAAGAGCTAGGGGAACTCATTAGCATAACTCATTAGCATATGCCACACACCCTGACATCACCGGAAGTGTGTCATAAGGCCACACACCCTGACATCACAGGAAGTGTGTCATAAGGCCACACACCCCGCCCCCAACGGTCCCGGCCGCCACTGAACTGTCAATATGTTCATGAGGGGCCTGGCAGTGGACCTGCAAGGCAACAGAATGAGGCTGGAAGCAGGGGGCGGCCGGAAGAAGGGGGCGGGGCTTTGTCGTGTGCCACACATCCCCGCACCTCACCCGGGGGAACTGCGATTCCCCCCGAATCGACCTCTGGTCCAAACTAGCCTGATCTCATCAGAGCTTGGAAGCTAAGAAGGGCTGACACTTGGATGGGAGGACTACCAAGGAAAACTGGGGCAGCTGTGCAGAGGAAGGCCATGGCAAGCCACCTGTGCTCATCTCTCGCCTTGAAAATCCCCTGTGGCGGAACTTCATGGGGTCGCCACGGCTCATTTGCGACCTGGTGGCACGCTGTCCTTCAGTAAGCGCTGGTCCTGTGCAGTAGATAAGGCAGGATTCTTTCATATATGGTGGTTATGCAGATGAGCCTCCAGTTACAGGAAGCAAACAGTAGAGATTGTATCCTCCGGGCTGGAAAAACAAATTACCTACAAACCAGAGACACCGCTGCTGAATTACGTACCCGACATCCCTAGAGATCTTCAGACGGTAGCCTTATTATTACAGTGGCTCGACTGGTCTTTGCCAGGAAATGGAAGCAGAAAATATGCCCAAGGTTCAAGATTGGCTGTTGAAAGTAAAAGAGATCCAAATTAACAGCATACCCAAAAAAAAAAAAATAGCAATGAGTCCAATCCGGACTCATGGTCAGGCGTTGTACAGAAGATAGCTCTGGCAACAGAACAGCTAGAATCAGAAGCAGAATCACTCAGTGCTGGTATTGTTGTTTTTATTCTTATGTGGATAGTACATAAGGGGTAATTTTTTTGACAGTGTACTTAGTGGGGGGGTTGGGGTTCCTTTTCTTTTTCTTTTTTTTTTAGTTTAATAAACTTTAATTTTTTTAAAAAAAGAAATCCCTCTCCCATCTGTTGGTCTTCCTCTGCCATGCCCTCTCCCCTCCAAGATACTCTTCTCGTGGTGTCCGGTACTGTATTGCCCTCAGCAGTCCTTGTTAGGAAAAAACGTTTTGCTTTTTCTTCAAGAACCATCAAAGGGGGCTCCATGTTTTTAACCTCTCCGGGGTTTTGTATGTAACACCCCACAACTGCTTGTTCTCCAGAACTGTTGGTAGGAGACCACTGTGGGGTCCAGCCACACTGTTTTGTTTCATACGTGCACATCCGAAATGGTCATCCAAATGTTTCATTGAAACTGCGGAAGCCAGAGGAGCGCTGCATATGACTTGGGGGGGGGGGGCTCAATGCCCTGCGAGGATGCTTTCCTCTCCCCATGATTATTGCTGCTCTAGGGGAAACCGAAACCTAGCATGCAAGAGAAGAGAAATCATGCTGTGCTTGCATAAATTTGCTAGAATGTGCTCAATCTGTGTAACATATGCAGCCTGCTGGATTCAGCTTTTCTCGGAACGTGGATTGTTTGACTCTAGAGCAGATAAATTTTGGACAGAATACAGATGCCCAAACCATGTTTACCAGGGCAAAGTTAGAAGCATGCTAGAGCTTCCAAACAGCCTAGTTTTGCAAAGGCATATATGGAGCAGCTGCTAGGCCAGTCTTTGCTCCCACTGTAAGCTTTTCTGTCTCCTAGCAGAGGGATGGTGTGTGTTGACCAGCAGGGGGGGATGGGAAACGGCGCAGGGCCGATCCCGTCCTGTTGTTTGCCTTGAGCTAAAAGTCTTGCCACAGACATGGAACATTTCCAAAACGTCCTTTTCTGGAAAAATGGGAACCAGAGATTCTCAGGATGCCCATTTGTATGGCTACACCAGATGCCAGGAGGACTTAACAATGTTTCTTCCTGTGCTGGAATCTGAATAAGCCCCTTCTGCAACCTGGGATTCATGCCTCTCACTCTTGGTCCTCTGATTCACAGGCAAAACTGCGGGAACAACAGCACTCAACAAGTCCGGGCCAGCCGGAACAAAGCTCCGCTCCCCCGTGGTTGGAAGCAAGATCCCCACCCCACGAGGAGGCTTCAACAAAAACACCAAGTAACTTGCCGCCCTCCTTGCAGTGCCAAAGCAGGGAAACGGTGGCAGGCTTTTGTCTTTCTCAAGCCATGGATTCGTCTTCTCGTGAGCTGCAGGCCCATTTGTAAAAACAGTGTTCTAGCTGGACTGCCTGGTCTCAGTGGCATTTACCACAATCCGCATATCCTAATTCAAACGGTTCTTCCTTGACACGACAATTTGTAATCATGATGCATTCCCAAGGCACAGACCTTCCCCTAGGATGATACGCCTGGTGTGGCTGTTTTCTCTGCCTCCCACTCTGCTCTCCGTAATGGCTCCTGTCAGTCTGTCACCTGAGGCAGGTGCCTCCCCTTGCCTGGCAGCAAGGCCCTCTTTTCTTCCCTATTGTAAATCAGATATGCCAGATGTGTGTGGATCTAAAAAGCACAACCTAGACCATCACTTGCGGACTGCTTTTCTGTGCCCTCTCCTCCTCCACTGTGAAGGTCTCGTGTTTCCTTTTTCTTTGCTTTTTGTGCAGTTGGACCTGCCCAGGATCAGCCAAAGGAGTGCAGCAGTTAAAGACTTCTGCAGTTCAGTTAAGATCAGCCTCTGAACTCGATGCTGAGCAATCACAGGGTGCAGCTTTTGGCTGGGCTGTACCATTTTAGCCTATTGGAGGGGTGAAGGTTTGAATCTTTGCATACAAAACTACTGTTTTCCTCAGCATTACAGTTTTAGTATGCACAAGATTGTATTTTTATGTTTGGGAGGGCTCCAACAATCCCTTCCCTACCTCTGCAATTTAAACTTGCACAGGCCGGCAAAAGCGACACCCAGAACCTGCTCCAATCATAGATTCCTGCTCTGAAACAGGGACAGATAAGCCACCGTGGTCCACAGAGCACAAGAGACAACCAGTCACTCCATTCAGCACATTGGCTTTTAGACACACATCAGAGAATCGAGAATCAGATGTCTAAAACGCGACACACAAAAGACAATCCTGTCGGCCACATTGTATAGTCCGGGAAGCAGAAAAGGGGGCCAAGAATGCACCTCAGGTGCTCCTCACGTTCCTGCTTAAAATGGAACTGACTGGTGCTGCAGCGCTTCCAAGGACAGATTTTTTTTTTAAGCAGCCTTCTGCTCCCAGAAGGATTTCCCAGCCGTCCTAGGGCTTCCTCTCACCTCAGAGCACGTGACTCAGTGGATTCGGCTTGGATACTTTTGGCTATTAAAAAGAGAAAGCATCTATGCCAGCCACCTTTTATGCAGCTTATTCGCCATTCATGAGCATTTCGGTTGCTAAAGGAGAGTTCTGGGCACATTCTGGCTCCCCCAGTTTACTTAGTGATGCTCAATGGGCGTAGCCAGGGACCATATGAATTAAGCCCTAACATTCGCCTCATAGCTTCTGGCAGCGCACAAATGGTCCTTGGCAAACAATTCAGGGTTGCTTGAATATGAAAAATTTAGAAAAACAGTGGATTTAATTCTTGGGGGAAACCTGAACCAGCAGGGGACGCCGATCAAGTTATGAAAAGGTGGTCATTATTCTCCTGTTGTGCCCCCCCTTCCTTTGAAAGAAATGACAGCTTTGATGAAACCTTGTTTTGCCTTGTTGTGTCGAGGTGGAGGAAAACACAAGGGAAAACTAAAAATGAGGAAGAAAAGCGGAAAAAAACCCAAAACCCTACCGGTACGAGGAAAAGAGAGATAATAAATATTTTAGTAATATAAATGTTTCTATATGGGATTGCAGCGTTTTATTATTAAAATATTCACATTTATTATGGATTACTAAATTTGTTACTAAAATATTTATTGCTTCTCTGTTTATTGCACTGGTACCTTTTTGCTTCCCCCACTTGTTTTTAGTCTTATGGGACGTGTTGTGGCTGCAGCGATAACTGGTAGACTTTTGAATTACACAGACCGCTTCAGCATACCAAACAGAGTGCTGCTGACAAAGAATATGACTGCCTAGCATAGTGTTTGCCCGCACCTTCAGTATATAGAGTGTAGGGTTTGGGGGTTGTGTCTTCTTCTCCCCCATGGAGTGAAATGTGGGGCATGCTCCCAGGCTCCCTTTTGCCACAGTCAGGCTCATGGACGGGGCCTCGCTTTCTAGGCAATGGAAAGGCTTCTGCAGTTCCCCTGGGCTGGTAGCCTAGGTCGTGTCAGGGCATTCCAATGCACCCTTACCTTGAGGGTGATCTTGCAGAGAAGGGAATCCGTACAACAGACCAGTCGCTGAAGGCATCTAATCATCCAAGATGTGTTAGGTTTCATCCCTTTAATGCTACACAGTGTCATAAATATTTCTCAGGAAAGGCATTTGCAGTCCAGTCCTAAACATGGGTGCTTCCACAAAACAACCTTTTTCTCCAGTATTGATGCCATTTGCTCACGCATTTGCATCAGAGAATCCAGACCAAGGGTACTTCCATATTAGTTTGAACAGAGAATCCAGTGACATCCTTGGCAGCCCAGCGCATACCATTGTTTTCCCTGTCGCTGTCCCATCCTTTTAAAGTTTTCTTCCTTGCTTTCCTGGTTCCAATATCATTCATTCCTGTCCTGCGCATGGCACTTACGTACTGCGAAACAGGGGAGAGGTGAGGAAATCAAGTGCTCCTTTTTGCTTTGCAGAGAAATGTTAGTTTTGTGATTTTTATTACGAAACGATGATGAAATGCTAAAAAATAAGAGTGGCTCTGCCTTCTGAGCACTTAAAAAGCAGTACTTAATCATAGACCCAGATTCACAGATTGCTCTGACCAGGCCCAGACAGAACAGGAGGCAATTATATCTGTAAAACAAAGAAGCGAAGAAAATTGCTCAGAGAAGCTTGTGAAACGATTGATTCGCAGATTGCCCTGACCAGCCCCAGACAGAACAGGAGGTAATTATATCCGTAAAACAAAGAAGCGAAGAAAATTGCTCAGAGAAGCTTGTGAAATGGGGCTCACCTCCAAGCAGACATGTGGTGGGATCTTGCTGGTGGGGAAAGACTTCTGTAGGGAATACAACCTGTATTAAGAGCTTCGTGGGATCCAAGGCTTTCCAGCTCCATTTCCACCTGGTTGCTGGACTTTGCAATGGTCCCTTCATGGGAGGTCCCAGTGTCCCCCCCCCCCAGCTGTTACATTTCCCTCGTTTCCTGGGTTCTGTTCCGTTACGTTTTGTTTTAAGGTACGGTGTCTAGTGATTTCCGGCTCCTTCTGTGCTTATTGTACAATCCTTTCACGTGTGAAACTGACACAGTATCTCACTTGGCTTGAAAGTGTGTTTGAGGTTGTCGATGATGGTGTATTATACGTACTCACACCCTATTTATATCTCTCTCACTATTAGCATTCTTATCAAGCTAGCCCTTGTACAGAATTAGCACACACACAAAAATCACTTAGTGAACGTCACTAGGAAGCACCTGAGATTCACTTGGTAGTAAGCCCCTCTGAGTTGGATGGGGCTCAGTCCCGAGTAAGTATACTCCAGCGTTAGGACACTTACAGGTTTCTTTTTCGGGTGAGAAGCAGCCCTGTTGGGCTAAAAATGATAGTTCATACCCAGCAGTCGACTTTAATAACGTCTCACGGGCAACTTGCCATCAGCCTCACAGTCCCTGATTTCACTACCAGGAGCAGGGAAGGGGCCACAAGCCTAGGTGGCTTTGAACCATGATAAATTAGAAATCCGTGGTGGGGGGGTATCTAAACTGCTGTCAGCCATAATGGCCCAGTGGAACCTCCATGTATTCCAGAGATCATGGACGTCATCCACAGAGGATGACCCAAATATCTGTGTCCACCTCACTGGCTTCTCAGAGGCACCTGGCTGGCTGTTGTTGGAAGCCAGACTCTTGGGTTGATGGACCTTTCCATCGGCCTGGCTGGGTTTTCTCTGGAGCTGTTCCATTTATTGCTGGTGTCGGAGGGCTTCCTCCCTCCTTAATGGGGAGCTGCACACTTAGCAAGCCAGAAGACAGTTTGGTGGCGCACTCAAGATTTTTTTTTTGGGGGGGGTGCCGTGTATGCCCGGTTGAGTTGGCTCTCAGCACAAACTGCAGATGTATACCCCTGCACGTGGCTGTGCCCCCACCACACCCGAGCTTTCTCAATGCACTCACTGAAAAGAGCATACGTTTTCATTCAGTAGGAAGTAACCATGTAGAGCAGAGGAGTTGTACCTCCTCCCCTCACTCTTGGTCAAGCAAGCAGAAGCTGCCTCCATTCTCTCCCCAGCCGCGCATCAGCTGTAGCAGCTGCTTAGGAAAACATGCAACATCTGCTGACATTTGGTGGGGGGGCGGGGGGCAGTGCAGCAGCTCAGAAGCACCTCCTGTGGCTGGTGGCTTCTCTGTTTTGCTCTCCCCCCCCCCACTTTCTCCTCAAGATGTTTGCTTATGCTCATCTTTTCACCTGTATCGAAAGCCTCTGTCCCAGCCCACGAGGCTGGGGCCAACTCTAAATGGGCCGGTGCTATTGGGGGGAGGCATCATTGCAAGGGCCAGGTGCCTGACAGAAGGTGATTTCCCACAATGGAACATTCCACTTCCATTGGTCGGTTTAACTACACGTTGCATCAGCAAATGTGTGTGAGGAATGGGGGCAGGGTCTACTTGCAAGGGGCAGGTGAATCAGCAAATGTATGTTAGGAATGGGGGGGAGAGGGGGCATGTTCAGGGCTGAAGTGGCAGTGAGATTCTTGACTCCCCTTCACACCATTTACCCCCCCCCCAGCCCTGTTTGCCCCCAGGCAACGGGTAAAGGTGGGAAGTAGTGCCAGGCAGAGGGAGAGTTAACCCTCCAATCCACTGTTGTCCATTAAAATGCCTTACTCTTCATACCCATTCAGGATAGGTTTGGGAAGCTGCGTGTGATGGCAGCCCCACCCTTGACAACCTCAGCTAAAATTACCGACTTGTCTCTAAGAAAGAGAAGTGTGCTTGCCGGACTAGATGTTCTGTGTAGGAAGGAATCCTGTGATAAACGTGGCATGTGCTGGCTCCAGCTAATGGGGTTTCCCCATTTTGCCTGGCACTTTCCACCCACCTATGACTCCCCTGTCATTTCCAAGCTGGGATTTTTGAGGATAAATCAGGCAGCTGGTGCAGCTGCAATACAGCCCTTGCAGGGTTTGAAGGAAACATACAAAGGGACAATTTGCTGGATAGCAGCAGGCTGATTCCAGGGTACTGCAAATGTCTCTCTTGTCACCTTGGACGGCGTTTGTACTTGGCTTTTCTCCAATAATAAAAGTCTATATTTCAACTGGGACAAATAGAAGTGCATTGTTTCGAGGGAGGGGTTTGTGGTGTTTGATTTGGAGGCTACTTGAAGTTGGCCACCAAAGTCCATTTGAATCAGAACACACTGGTTCTGGAAGAAGAGCAAGTTCAGGCTTGGATGAGTCTCCGGAGGGAGTTTCAAAATTCCCCGAGAATGCCTCTCTGTGTGCCCTTGAGGCTCTGAAGCAGAACTTGAAGGTATGTCATTGCTCCCGTTCTTAGTCTTGATGTTCATAAACTAAGGGACAAGGTAAGGCACCTGCTTTGCATGCAGAAGGTGCCCGGTTCAGTCCCTGGAATGCCCAGTTGAAGAAGATCAGGGAAAGATCTTTCTTTGCCTGAGACCATGGAAAGCTGCTGCCAGTTAGCAGCAAAAGTGGACTAGCTAGGACAAGTTTATGTGTTCATAAATGTTAGGCTGGAGCCATTCTGGTAGATAAGCTATCTGGGGCCTTGTGGGTGGTTAATTGAAATGGGAGAAGTAGGTTGGCTTTCAGAGCTGGTCTTTGGAGCCCACCAGTCCGCTAACTGAAGTTCATATCGAGAATGGACACCTTGCGTGTGGATTTTGTAAGTGTTTTTAAGGGAATCCTTCGATGCAGCCAACCAGTCTTACCTCCTATTCTTGATGAACCCTTGTTCACTTTTCTTTTTAATTTATTCATCATTGCTATATCCCAAAAACTGCACTGGAAAGAGTCTGACGCTTGGAAAATCCCTGGATAGCCCAAGCGTTCTAGTTCCGCTATGCAGCTGGTCACTCTGATATTTAGAGTTTCATCTGTTCTGCATGGCAGTGCTAAATTCCATGAAAATGGGACAGATGTCCCTCCTTTGCTCTCTGTCATACAGTAGAAATTTCAACTTAATTTTAAAAAAATACTTTCTAGTTCTCATAGTTCTTGGGAGTATATTTGCTTAGTGTCTTAATGGAGGATTCTGTTTCTAATGTCCCTGATTAGCCAGATTGCTCCCTGAACTATGTTCACTGTGTGGTTTACGTACTCTACAGCAGAGAATAAGTATATGTTATGAACACAGATAAACAGAGAGGCTTAATGGAAACACATTAGACCAGAGAGTCACCTCTGCAGTTCAGTAGCTCGCTGACCTTAGTTAACACTTGTGCTCCAGAAAAGTGTTTAGCTCACTGCGAAATGAGCCTGTGTGTAATATATAAATTTCCGTTAATAGGCTCTGTAGACTGATCTACCTGAAAGGGCAGAAGGCAAGGCAAAAAGTTTTCTCAGTCTTATCATGCTCTGGGCACTGCAGTGCATCTCGTAAAATATCTTCAAGCCAGTGCCACAGGCTCACCTGCATTGCTTGCTTCAGCACTAGCCATTACTATTCAGTTTATAGGAAGAATCCAGATACCATTCCAGTGTTTTCTGCATTCTTTTCCGTATTTCCACACTCATCCACTTATACTGGAATTTGTCCAGTATATCTGAGTGCCCATATGCAGGTTAAAGTCTCCGAAAGTAATTAAGTTGGATTATCGCTATCTGCTGATCTATGCATAGAGCTGAATTTTTTTTAAATTGTATTATGTTTTAAGCTTTAATTTGTTATATTTATATGTGAGCCGCCCTGAGCCCACTTGCAGGGTAGGGCAGGATATAAATCAAATGAAATAAAAATAAAATATTTTCAGGATTGGTTTGTGGTTGATTTTTAAAACGTGTGGATTGTCTAAGGAGACTTAAGACTTTCCTAGGCTACAGTCCTTATCTCTTCTAAAATAACATCCTTTGTCTAAAATAACATTCTTTTTGCTCAGAATGCGCTAGTAGTCTTGAGCGCTTCTTTCATCGGCTCCTTTGCCTGGCGTTAATGAGCACTTTCTTCTTTGCAGCAGAATCGGGTTTTTTAAATTAAGTTTCCTGTTTTGTTATGGGATGTTCCGTTTCATAGTTACGATTATGGTGTTTAAGAAAAGGTGCGAGCGCAGTTGGCAGCCAAGGAGAAAGGGGAGCAACAATCCCTCCAGTCTCTCGGGGGATGCAGTCGTAGACTGTGGCAGGACAGTTTTCACCACACGGTTGCAAGGATACAGCATCAGGACCGCTAGTCACTTTTCCTTCCGCACCAGAAGGGATCGCTACCGGACGTATGTGGCCATTCTACCATTCAAAATCTATGATTTAGCATCCACACACACAAGCAAATGGAGAAAGGGCGGAGATTTATTTATTTTTTGACGCTCTTTTTCTAAAATCCCGGAATTGCAAAAAAAAGAAGAAGAAGGGGGGGGGGGGGGAGACCCTCATATATGGAATTATCAGTGTCAAGTAAAAGCCCTAAAATCACTGCCATAGAGACAGCGAAGGTATAGAAGGGCTTTTAAGGGAAACCATAAGTTTTTACATCCGGGTTCCTAACCCCGGAAGCGGCTATTGAGGGGCGGCGCAATGGCGGCGGCGGACGAGGAGGATGGTGCCTGGCCGGAGGTGACGGATTCCGGCCGGCGGGAGCTGAGCCTGGTGGCGGGGCCGGAGCTGGAGGGGCGCGTGCGGGCCGCCGGGGGCCGGCTGCCGTCCGCCCTGGGCTCGCTGGGGGCGTCGCTCCGGTCGCTGGAGGTGCGCGGCGGCTGCGCCTACCTGCGGGAGCCGGGCCCGGCCTTGGCGCGGCTGACGGCGCTGCACACGCTGGCGCTGCCCAGCTGCGCGCTTGGCCCGGCGGGGCTGGCCGGGGCGGCTGCTCTCCTCCCGCCCACGCTGCGCATCCTCGACCTCTCGGACAACGCTCTAGAGGAGCTGCCTCCCGAGCTGGGCGGCGCGGATGCCGGCGCCGGGGCGGGCGAGGCCGGGGGGAGCTCCGGCGCCCTCCTCCTCCCGCCAGGCCTGCCCGAGCTGCGGCTGCTTAACCTGCGTCGCAACCGCCTGCGCCAGCTGGGTCCCGGCCTGGCCCGCAACGCCCCGGCCCTGCAGGAGCTGCTCCTGGGCGGCAACTGCCTGCGCTCCCTCCCCGGCGGCCTCTTGCCCGCGCCTGGCCGCACCCCGCCTTTGCCCCTGCTCGCCACCCTCGAAGCCGCCGGCAACGAGCTAGAGGAACTCGGCGCCCAGATCGCCCGCCTGGCCGGCCTCAAGGTAAACCCGTTTCTTGGGTGGAGTGAAAAGATAGTAAGCGGCCAGGAAAAGCGGTTAAGAAGGAATGTGAATGGTGTGAGCAAAAACAATTTAACAGAATACCTGAGTTGATGAATGGGGTTTCTGACAGTGCCTAAAGCTTTATTCCCATTCTTCACATTTGAAGTAAGGTAAAGGTAAAGGTTCCCTTGCTCGAAAGCCAGTCGAATCCGACGCTAGGGTTGCGGTGCTCATCTCCATTTCAAAGCCGAAGAGCCAGCGCTGTCCGAAGACGTTTCTGTGGTCATGTGGCCAGCATGACTAAACAACAAGGTGCACGGAACGCTGTTACCTTCCCACCAAAGTGGCTTCTCACCAAAGTGGCTCAAGTTTGAGGCAGGGGTGGAATTTAAACCAAGAGCTTGGTCTCAGTGAGCGGTTTATGTTGTTACAATTCACCTTTCTCCCTGAGACTCAAGGCAGATCATATGACACAGCAGTGCAGTTAATCCGGTGAGATGTCTGATGAGCAATGTAATAGGACTGGGATTGTGGAAATCTGAATAAAGGGTAAGTATTAAACACAACTCCTGCCAACCTAGCAGTTCGAAAGCAAGAAATTGCAAGCAGATAAATAGGTACTGCTTCGGTGGGAAGGTAACAGCGTTCTGTGTGCTTAGGCATTTAGTCATGCCAGCCACATGACCATGGAAACATCTTCAGACAGCACTGGCTCTTCAGCTTGTAAACGGAGATGAGCAGCTGTCACCTAAGCTGCCATCGAGGGAGAGGGGAGAGGATGGATGATAGTCTGCTGTTATACTGGAATCTTAGCTTTCGTTTCTCCTCACCTCGTCTTATCTGCTAGCTTAGGCCAGTGACCTTGGTACCTTGCTGTTGATGCTTTCACTTGGAGCGTAAACCCATTAGCTTAGGCGCACTTTGGCCTTTTCCCTGATTGGCTCACCTCCATCAGGGGATCCCAGTTTGAATTGTGTATAGCTCCCCCTTTTGCGTGCTTGCAATCAGTTCTAACACAAGATGTATGCACAAATCACCTGCTTTTACTGTAAATAAACCTTTTTGGAAAGGACGTTGTTGAGAACTGATCGCTGTGGGACTCTGAGTCCCCCCTAGAGTCAGATTCGACTGGCTTTCGAGTAGGGGGAACCTTTACCTATTAAACAGAACATATTAAACAGTCAGTGAATGATATTACATAAGTAGGGATATAATACAGTAAAAACAAGATACAGTAGTAGATAGCACATACCATATGTAGTAGTGAATTTCACAGACCCATTCTTTTCATTGAACTGTTCCATTAGAACATAGGCCTGTCACCTTTATAAAAACGCTCCCCTGAGCAAGTCTGTTTTACATAGTTTTTGGAATGCTACAGTTGTGGAAGGTAGGGCATTCCTCAAGGCGGAGGCCAGAATGTACTATTCTGCTTTGACGGCTCTTATAATAGATGGTGGCAGTTAGAATTTGTAGGGCTTCAGCCAGAGAGATCCAATGTGGTGGAAGCGGCATGAGGATGACACATGACTGCTGTAGCTTTGGACCGCCACAGTTGCTCCTTCTGTTTCTCAGTAAGGTTATTTTGTGCCATATTTTTGTTTATTTGCCATAGAGCAGCATGATGGTTCTTTGCATGACAGTTGTCCGCAAATCATTTCTTTATAAGGAAATCTCTGGATATGAAGTTGTTGTAACATGACGACGACAACACCTGATGGCATGGCTTTGTCCCAGGGACAGAGTGAGCCAATGTGGTGTCAGACTAATGTTTGTGACCCACCCCACCCCCAGTTAAAATCCTCACTTGGCTCCTAAGCTGTGTCTAACTGGAGGGTATCATGAGAGAGAATTAGAAAGAATCATGTGTGCTATCCTGAGTTTTTGGAAGGAGGATGGGATGAAACTGAGAATGGCTCATTTTTGTTTAAAGGCATTGATGTTCCATTTACTTTTTGCTTCAATTCCTTTGGCTTCTTAGACCTTGGACGTCTCTAATAACAAACTGTCTGAAATCCCCGTGGAGTTAGCAGACTGTCCAAAGCTGAAGGACGTCAACCTGAAAGACAACGCCCTGAAAGACAAGCGCCTTGAGAAGATGGTGAAGAGCTGTCAAACGAAATCCATCTTGGAGTATTTGCGAGTTGGGGGCCGAGGGGGCGGCAAAGGGAAGGGAAAACAGGACGGCACAGAGAAAGAGGAGGCTCGGCGGAAGAAGAGGGAAAAGCCAAAGAAAAAAGCCAACAGTGATTCGGAAGACGACGAGGCAGAAGAGGCACAGAAGCTGATAGTCAAAGTGCTTCACATCACTGTGAATCCAGCTCCACTGAGCGTGAAAGCCAGCCCGGCCGTCAAAGAAGTCCGCCCCTATATTGTGTGCTGCGTGGTGAAAGGGATGGATTTCCAGACAGGCAATGCTTTGAAGAGGTTTCTTTCTGTTCAGGTATGTCTGAAGAAATCATGTGGGATAATTAATGAGCATGATCCAACTGTAAACAAGTATTTGGGCAGTTATTGGGCTTGTCCCATACGGATCAAGTATGAAGCACTCTGGAACATATTGAAAATAAGTGACAGTAGGGTTGGATGCATGTAGTAGCTCGTGACGTAGATTGCAAACCTCTGTGAAAAGCAACCACAGCTGAAGAACAGATTTAGTAAATTGAAAACTGCAGCATGAAGAATAAAGGCTCCGTGATCCCAAAATACTTTTCTATAAGCATACATGGTTGTTGTTTTTTCCCTGTGGAAACTGGGCCCGAAGGCAGCTTTTCTGATGAGAACAGGGATATTGATTGATTGATTCAGTTTATAAACTGCCTTCCCCCAAAGGGCTCAGGGCAGTGTACAACATATACTAAAGTATCAATAATAAAATCGTACAAACAAGTTCAATTAAAACAATACAGTACTGTAATGTAATCCTCTGATGGTGTCTGATGTCAATTTGTGCCCTCACCATGGTGGGGGGGGGGGGTGAGAGGTGAAGGCCAGGCTTGATGGTAGACCATTGCAGTCCTCAACCATAGGCCTGGCAGAACATCTCTGTCTTGCAGGCCCTGCGGAACTGTCCCAGGTCCTGCAGGGCACGGATGTCACCAGGCAGAGAGTTCCGCCAGGCCAATGTTCGAGGACAGCCAGATATCTTTCGGGCCAGGGATCACCAGGAGATTTTGTTCTCCAAAGCGTAGTGCTCTTTGGGAAGAGGGGCTATATCAGGTATATTGTTTTGACGAGATATATTCCATCCTTAAGCTTCTTAGGGTAGCCTGCAAATCTAATTGAACAAAGTTGTCTTTGGCCTCAGCAGAGATCCTCTGTCCTACAGTAAAATAGCAGCCTTCCTTGCTCTACATTTAACGTCTGTGCCAGAGCACCGGCTTTTTCTCGGCAGTGTTTCAGCATTGGCAGCAGAACAGAAAGCATGGCCTCCCCAAAAGCACCAATCTTCTGTCCTTCAGCCACCAACCAGGGACCAGATAACAATCTTTTCGGTTATGGTGGATGTTAGGGAGTTTGTTCTGCCCTGCAGTTCTTTCCAGAGAAGCTGCCTTGGTGGTTATTAAGATGGAGCTTAATAGAATTGTTCTCCCTCATTTAGCTGTTCTGGGGTAAAGATGCCACCTTATCCAGGAGGCCACCCACCACAGCTGATTCAGTGAGCAAAGCAGAGAATGCTTCAGAGGGTCTTCTTCTGATTTTCTTATAGATATAGGTGGTATTGTCAGGATAGGGAAAAGTTCCACTGATCCTTGCCTGCTTTTCCTTTTCTGACTCTCTCATGGAGCAGCTGATTTGATACTGTCAGTGTGGTGAAAGAAGGGGCTGCTGTTTCCCGATGCAGTAACAAAGCTTTTTGTTTGATGGCTCTGTTGAAATTTTAGACCAAACTCCATGAAGACATCTGTGACAAACGGACAGCAGCCACCATCGCCACACACGATTTGCGACTGATCAAAGGTCCTCTCCTGTACGATGCTCGACCTCCTGATGAATTGAAGGTGAGGTTGTACTGGTGATGGTATTGGAGTTATCCCTAAACTGGAATTATCCATAAACTGGTGCTGATGCAGATAACTTTTCATCTTTGCCTAATGCTCAATTTTAGATCACTCCCTTGGGCCGAAAGGAGATCAAGGCGAAAGACCTCCTCCGCCAGCTGCAGTCAGAAGCCGATGAGCAGAGGAAGCAGAAGAAGAGGCAGAATATTTCTGGGCTGCACAAGTCAGTGTTAAATGTTGGGGCACCATATGTCTTTTATGGAGCCATGTCATCACCTTAGACCTATCCTGAGTTACAATTAATACCATTCTATTTACCCCTCTTTGACTTCCATGGCTTCCTTCCAGAGCCATAGTTAGGTGTGAGGTTCTGCAAGCTAGAGCCACTCTCACAAAGCTCCCATGCAAGAGGGTTAGGTCTGAGCAAAAGCTTACGGTCCCCAGTGATGCCTCTGCCCCGTTTGGGACTAGTTTCACTTGCATAAAGCAATCAGCTTTGTTTGCTGCTTTCCCCCCTAAAAAAAAAACCCAGTTTGAGCTGTTTTTCACTGCTTTGGGTTTTACTGTTTGAGACCAGGTTCCAAAAATCAAGAAAGGGGTGCTTTAAAGTTGTCATTTTGAAACTGTAGCCTGTTCCACAGTCCCCAAACAAGTTTTGAAACAGAGTAATTTCAAAAGCAGTTTTTGATATAGGGTGAGGCTGTGCTCTTGGGGGGAGGAACAAAAATTCCACCTGGATAGCATATGGCCCTTCCCTGTCCCACAGAAAGTCTTTGGACTTCTGCCATGGGCTGAGGATGAATGCTGGGGGTTTTCATGCTTGAGAGTGCAGATTTTCAAATCATGTACATGAAAATGCAAACTAACTGAATGCAAGTAAAACAGACTTCAACTTCCCAGCTTCTCTAGAGCTTTGATTTATTTTTTTAGTGTTTGCAAGAAAACTGCTTGGATGGCTACTGTTTTTATTTTTTGTTTCACTCATTTCTATATTCTCATTTATTTTTATCCAGGTACCTTCAGTTACTAGATGGGAAAGAGAATTACCCCTGCCTAATAGATGCTGAGGGTGCTGTGATTTCATTCCCACCAATCACAAACAGTGAGAAGACAAAGGTATAGAGGACCATTTAATATCAGCTGAAATTCTGCAACGAGAAATGTGGCATTCCATAACATTCATTAATAAGGCAAATTGGGGGAGATTTGTGTGATTTCGGTGACTGCATAAATCTGGCTTTGCTAGTTGAAGTTTGGGGCCAAGACCTTCACAAGGCACTGAAGCTGCCGCCTCCATTTTACATCTCACTGTTACCTCTTTCGCTCAGCAGGCATTGCCCATGTCCACAGAGTCTAGAAACATTTTTTTAATGAACTTGCTAACTGAAATTCAACCCTGAGCGTAGTTCTTCGTTTGTAGCATAAAACTGTTGTGTAGAGGGAACAAGCTTCAAATCCTTATCCTGAAAGCCCAGTGAGCATTCAAGGCAGTCTTGTTGATTTACCATATTCTAAGTTCTTTGAGACATGCTCATCTTCCACTTCATGCCAAAGGTATGTTCTACTCTACACCTTTCAGCTAGGCTTAAATGGGCACCATTGTTTATGACTTATCTCTCATGGAACGCTTGGAAGTGTAGTTCCGCAGGGGTGCTGAGAATCCTTCGCTAGACATGCTAGCAAAAATGTCATTCTTATGGCTCCTTGGAGAAAGCCATCACACTTCTGTTGCTTTTGTGAATGAAATTAGATTCCACAGGACTTAATTCGGCTTGGCCTTTACGCCAAGTCCAGTTCTTAATTTTTTTTTTCCCTTTCCTTTTATCTGCATTTCTGTTTTCTGTGTGAAGCTTGGGAAAACGACCTCAGGTATTTTTCTGGAGGTGACAAGTGCCACCAGCCTGCAGATCTGTAAAGACGTGATGGACACTCTCCTTCTGGTGAGGACATAGCTCCTGATCCTCTCCCCCTCCCAACCCTGCAATCCCCGCTGTGCATGCTCTTTAACCGTAGATTCCCAAGTTTACTGTATGTTAGGAAATCCGGTTGAGATATACAATTTAAAGTTTGAAGGTCAGGGTGCAAAGTAAACTTCCCCATACTCCCCAGCATCCCAATTAAATTACCCTGGGTAATTAATTACTCTACATATAGCAGGTGTGTGCCAAAAGTCCACGACCTTGATACAACAAAGCCCTCCGTGATCTGTCATTGCAGCCACCACCCTTAACATGATGAAAGCTGAGCGTACAGCATGTATTGTTCTATGCCTCTTTCCATTTCCGTCTTATTTGCTTGGGGGGAATGCCCATCAGCTCTTAAGGCAGCAACTTTACACAGTGCAATCTTGATTTCTTTATCACAGAAAATGGCAGAGCTCCACAAGTTCACTTCTGAGAACAAGGATGAGGAAGTGAATTCTGATCATGAATCAAACAAGATTCTCCTTTGCGAAAACTCGGGCGCCAAAACAGTTCCCAGGAATTCCCCTCTGATGCTGGAACAGGTTCGGGTCGTGGATATGGAAAGCAACTTAAAGGTCCTTTACCCTTCAAAAACTGATCTCAGTACAGTCTCATCTCTCCTCACTGTAATTCATTAAGCCAACCAATGTTTTCCTCCCCACTGCTTAATTTAAGGGCCTGGGTGTATATTTTACAATAGCCTTGTTTTGCTACACTTTGATTTTATACCAGCAGCAAGACAGCCGCTGCTCTGCTTTGTGGAGGATTCATTGAAATGCAATGGAACAAGATGTTGTGGTCTTGCGGAAGATTCCAAGACTGCTGTGGGTAATCAGATGTAACTAACCTCCTATCCAAACCCACCCGGAAGCGACACAGATCACTTTTGGATCAAAGTGCTGAACCCATATTTCTTCTTATGTAATAACTGTATTGCCCAGGCAGACTCAAGCTTCGTGGGCTGCCGTCCCTCACTATAACTGCCCTGTTTGGCAACTCACTTTTTTTGAAAAGGGGGGGGGGATGCATTGTTGACTCACTCCTGATCTAGCCAGAGGCTCTTTCGCCTCTCGTTCTCCAGTGTAAAAAGGCTTTTGTAGAGTGTTCCTCTCCTGCATGGCAGTTGCTGAGTCCTGCGTATGAACACTGAGCTGTGTAAGGGGGAGACCCTATGGCATCCCTCTGTGTGCTAGTTTAGGTGAATTCAGTTGTTGGATAATGCAGAGTGGGAGGAGAATCCCCAGCATGGGAGGCTCTGGGGGACCAAACGGGCCTTTGTGGCCGTTGGTGGAGTTCCCGGGTTTCCTGCAGGTACAGACTCACATGTACTGACCTGGAATCTTGAAAGCCTCAAGCTCAGTTTGTATCATGACAAGATGGCTTCCACATGCTCCCCCTCCCCCCCAGGTTCATTGCATGGCACTCTTTTGACCTGTGAAGTCAATTCACATGGGATGCTGCCGGCACAGCATACTGAGCTGCCTCGGTGGTTTCTCTTCTTCACATGTGGCTGGGCACGCAGGATGAAGCCATAGGACTGCAGTGGCTGGAGAATGAACTGAGCCTGTGCTTTGTAGAACGAGAACCTCTGAGCTTGTGTTGAAGGGCAGCCTTCTCCCCACAGCCAATCACTCTTCACACTGAGGATTCTTTCAAAAGCTGGTTGCGATAACAGCAAAGAGGAGATTGAAATCTACTGTACGTGAACTTCTCTTTGAACAACTCTTAGGCATGCCTAAAAAGTACCTTTTTTAACATCCTGGTCTAAGTTTGTAGCACTCACTGGATCACACGGAGGAACCTGTCAGCGAGCAATCTCAAAAGATTAGAAATAAAAGCAGAAATGATGACCTGCGCGCGCTTTGATTTGTTGTGTCATTTCACCATCACGCTTTTTTTCCCTGGCTCTGGCTCAGAACGATCACTTCTCAGCATAACGATTTCAGAATAATAGTTGCTTGTCCATCACACCTCGTACCACTATTTCTCGTGTACTAACCATGGTGCTGGGCCCCAACCTGAATGGCCCAGGGCTAGCCTGATCTCGTCAGACCTCAGAAGCTAAGCAGGGTCGGGCTTGGCAAGCACTTGGATGGGAGACCTCCAAGGAATACCAGGGTTGCTCTGCAGAGGCAGGCAGTGGCAGAACACCTCTTGCCTCGAAAACCCCGCGGGGTCGTCGTAAGTCAGGTGCAACTTGATGGCACTTTCCACCACCAATCATGGTGCTTACTGCTAAGTACAGTGTCCACCCTTGATATTCATGGAACTATAATCAAGCTAGCTGAAGTTGCTTTTCTTCCGCAGAGGGAAAAGTTCTAGTCCCCCCCACACACACACACACACCATCTTTTAAGGTTATAACAAAATCTCTCCTAGTTCTTTTTTATATATATATACCCTTTATTCTTCCTGTATTTCTAAGTCCCCTCTATTTGAACCGCCAGCTTAAGGTATTGTGGGGAACCCACAGCTCTTAGGCATCTGCCAGTTGTCTAAACACTGTATTGCAATGGGAGTTTTAATGATGCCTCTTGGTTTGGGGTGAGGTCTTGGGGCTCTGCGTGTGTGTTCTGTAAAGCAGCCCTCGTCACAACTGAATAAAATACTACTCTTGTTAAAAGTCCAGACCAAAAGGATGCATTTTCACCGTATTCCTGAGTGCCATCAAGGAGGGTAACAGGCATATTTTAAAAAGAGGTGTCTTTTTTTAGCCATCACACCACCCTTGAAAAGCTGGTTGCACAAGATCTTGTACGGGTGGAAACGCAAGCTGGGATCCAATAAGTTCAGCATGCGACTACTTTTTTCTTGCATTTCTGCCTGCACAAGAGCTCTAGTGCAAGTGGAAACTTCGCAACAGCTCTAACCCAGCTTCCTACCTTATTACTGGGCAAGTCGGCGGCCGACAGACTTCTGAGGGCTTCTCATTTTCCCCCTCCCAACTGTTTCTTCTTTCCCTTCCCCGAAGGCCTCCACAGCCTCTTCTCTTTCCCACCAACCTATCTTTTACCTGCCCCTCACCTTCAACTATATTATTCATTTATGCCCCATTTTTCTCCACAATGGTGGGCTCAAAGCACCTCATACCATTCTTTTCTCCATTTTATCCTCACTACATCCCCGTGAGGTAGGTCAGGCTGATTGTGATTGCCCCAAGGTCACTCAGTGAGCTACAGTAGAGCACGGATTCAAACCCGAGGGTCCTAGTCTGAAAGTCTGACCATTACACCAATTGCACTGGTTACAGACTGAGTACCGGATCCACTTCAAGGTGTTCGTAAGGTAAAGGTTCCCCTGCTCGAAAGCCAGTTGAATCTGACTCTAGGGTTGCGGTGCTCATCTCCGTTTCAAAGCCGAAGAGCCAGCGCTGTCCGAAGACGTTTCCGTGGTCATGTGGCTGGCATGACTGAACATCGAGGCGCATGGAACACTGTTACCTTCCCACCGAAGTGGTCCCTATTTATCTACTTGCAATTTCTTGCTTT